GGATTCACGCCGCTTGCGGAGTGGCTTCGCGGCATCACATACGCATTTAAGATCATGCAGTATAATTTTCAGTCGCAGGCCGCTATGTTGTATGAATACTTGCAGTCACGAAAGCTTTAAATCAAAAAGGATATTTATCTTACCATAAACGGTTACATTATCATAGCCTGTGTTTTACAATATTCAAATAACAAGAAATCATCATCATCGATCGCAGGCCCCAGTGGTTGTGAATGTTCATGTGTCCTCCCGGTCGACCTCCCATGACCCCGCATTGTGGTGGCCATTCCCCAATGACCATAACGAGAGGCCGAAGGTCACAGGTTTTTTTATAAATTGTTTTTGGTTACAATAGCGTATCTTAACTACTGTAACGCATTGCCATTAAACATTATTTGGCACAAACAATATACATAGGTTTTTTGGTTCTTGCACAATTGTAAATCCGGAATTAAAAATACATAGTTGGCATACTGTTATTAAAATATACTCCTTTTTCTAACTAGCACAATATTAATATTAACTGTTCAAATAAATGTGAAAACAGGCTTTCGCTCAATATTTACCTTGTTTGAAGAGGGCAAGTCAACTCCAACCCCGAGATCTGTCCTTCCTCTCTGGCTTCTTCAATCAATTTCCCAGATCGCCAAATCCTTTTTCCATTCACATACTGTATCGTCTGTGCTCTCCAGTCGTCTGGGCGAAAAGTGGGCTAACTTCCTTGGCCAATCCTGGCCAGCTGGCTGAACAAACTCAATAAGCAAACACATTTCTCCAATCCAATATTCAAAAAGCCATTTTCTAATGTTGCTGTGAATAATATTTATTTTTTGCAAACGAAACTTGATCGTGAAAAGCAATGTGGCACCACATAGGCATTTAAGATCATGCGGTATAATTTTCAGTCGCAGGCCTCTATGTTGTAAAAGAAAAACTGTGCCAGCTCAATTGTTTTCCCACGTCTTTTTTGCGTAAGACAGAGACTTTAAAAACTAACCACTGAGACCACTAGTTATAAGTTACCTTAAAAAGTAATATCTGTACTTACGAAGAAATTATTGTCCATCTTAATGTCTGCCTTAATTATTGTCCATATTAATGATATTCATTACATTTCAAAATGTTACCATGAGGCAAAGTTTAATTTCTTAAGGATATTTTTTCCCCAAATGTAATTCATTTAGCTGCGCTGTGTTCTGAGTCAGTGTGCACGATTCGGATTCATGGCACCGTGGACAAATATAAACTTGCTGGACACGCTGCCCTTGAGGCACGTTGTTGTCACTCTTTATGATGATCTTCAATGTTTCAAAAGCCACTCAACTTTCCCTTGCTCATGTTTTTCATGATTTTGATCCTGGTTTTTTTTTGCCATCGATGATTTCTGTAAGTGTGCACGTTCTCCACTTGTGTCCCTCCAACAATGTTCTCCTTTTCCTTCACATTTGTTGTTCATTCTATTCTTGCGTATGGCTATATGTTCGGGAGCTCAATGCCAATGTCGCGGTCGCGGTCTGCTAGCCACGAGAGAGCTTCAGGAGAGAGTTTGTGTGGTTTCACTCCACCGTTGAAGGGGTGCAAACCACTAGAATGCTATCTGGCCCATAGTTTTGTGTTGCATGGCCACAATCACACTGTGTTTATCTGTAGTCCTAACTGCTTTTTAAAGTGAACGTATACAAAGAAGCTGGGAGAGATGCATTCTGGGAATCAAACTCAGACACAAAAAGCAGTTCAGAAAACAAATGGATTGTTATTACAAATAAGTGAGCTTGGGCATTACACATTCTTCGGAGGGATGATGGTGGATGGAAGAGACTGGTGGCAGAATTACAGCGCCGCGGTGGTGATATATTAACTACCTCGCCTGGTTTTCAGGAGGTTGTGGGTTTGATCCCAACCCTGACATTTGTATATTTGGGGTTTGCATGTGCTCCCCGATGATAATTTTTCTCCGGGTCCTTGGGTTTTTCCCTCCACATTTGGAATAAACATACGTTTTGAGTATTTGGCTGCTATAAATTTCCACATGATAACACACTTAATTTTGCTATCATTTGTAGCCTGGTCGCTTCTAAAAAAATAGCTATATAGCTCAATGGGCCTGAACTGGTAAATTACAGAAAGTTTAGTTTCAGTTTAGTTTTTACAGTCAAAGGAAAAGACAACCATTATGGAGAGGAAGCGATGAGATCAGCTGACGTGCAGGAGCGAAACCATGAGGGATGGCGACAGCTTGGGGAAGCCTTCACTCAGCACTGGATAGACCATGGCTGAAGATGATGATGTTGAATTTCGATTTAAAGCTTTCGTGACTGCAAGGATTCATCTTCTTTGGTTCTTTATTGTGTTATTTTATTTTATCAATTTATTATTTTATTCTCATTCTACGTGACTTTACCGAAAGAACCAAAGAAGATGATGATGTTGATAAAGGTATGTACATATAATGAGTGCAATGCCTAAACAAGGATATTAATATTCTTGGTTCTTTCGGTAAAGTCGCGCGACTTTACCGAAAGAACCAAGAATATGAATCCTTGCAGTCACGAAAGCTTTCAATCAAAAAGGATATTAATCTTACCATAAACGGTTCCATTATCATAGCCTGTGTTTTACAATATTAAAATAACAAGAAATCATCATCGATCGCAGGCCCCAGTGGTTGTGAATGTTCGTGTGTCCTCCCGGTCGACCTCGCATGACCCCGCATTGTGGTGGCCATTCCTCAATGACCATAACGAGAGGCTGAAGGTCACAGGGTTTTTTTTATAAATTGTTTTTAGTTACAATAACATATCTTAATTACTGCAAAGCATTGCGATTAAACATTATTTGGCACAAACAATATACATTGATTTTTTTGTTCTTGCACAATTGTAAATCCGGAATTAAAAATACAGTTGGCATACTGTTATTAAAATATACTCCTTTTTCTAACTAGCACAATATTAATATTACCTGTTCAAATAAATGTGAAAACAGGCTTTTGCTCAATATTTACCTTGTTTGAAGAGGGCAAGTCAACTCCAACCCCGAGATCTGTCCTCCCTCTCTGGCTTCTTCAATCAATTTCCCAGATCGCCAAATCCTTTTTCCATTCACGTACTGTATCGTTTGTGCTCTCCAGTCGTCTGGGCGAAAAGTGGGCTAACGTCCTTGGCCAATCCTGGCCAGCTGGCTGAACAAACTCAATAAGCAAACACATTTCTCCAATCCAATATTCAAAAACCCATTTCCTAATGTTGCTGTGAATAATATTTATTTTTTGCAAACGGAATTTGATCGTGAAAAGCAATGTAAGGATGCGCCGGAAGAAGAATGTTTTAAATCTGAGCATATTGCTTGCTCGGGTATGCAGATCAGAAACAGGAATACTGGAAAGGAAAATGGATCAAAAACTGAAAAAAGTGCGCAGGGAAGCATGGAGACACACGTGCTAAGAATTGCACTGAGGGAGAATTAGGAAAACACATTGTGGAACAGAGCACAAATCAGAAATGCCATAGATAAGAGGTTTTTGGGTTAAACCTGCCACTACCCGACACAGCCAAAACATGGCAATCCGTTACTTGTACAGCACACCGGTGTGTTGGAGAGTAAACCCACATTTACAATTCCAGTATGACGTTTCACCAGTAATTACAACCAGCATCATCAGGCGACAGCCAGAGTTGTATATAAATCCTCCTGTTTCGGTCTTAAATAGAGGAGGTAAATGTGATGTCGTCACTTGTGAGCCAATCAGGTGCGAAGGCCAGATGAGGGGTGGGAGGGGTTAACAACACATTCATATTTACGCGATCTAACCCAACAAAGCTCTTATGGATAATATTGATCGCGAAAGCTGAGTATGTGTTAATCAGAGATGTCATATTTGGCAAAGGAGAGAGGATGCCACCGTCACGATAGACCAATGTGGCACGTGTGAAGTGGGTTTTGATAGCAATTGCCCAAACTCTCTGGCCCTGTATTGGGATGTTTGGCCATCTCCGTTAATTTTTTTTATATAGATAAATGAACAATTATAGTGAGTATTTTTTGTCATTTTAAATTGCAATTAATAACGCGGACGATGAAGAAATTACCCATCCTCAAATAATGACGAGATTCGTAAACAAAGACAGAGAGAGTAGACACAATGTCTCTCCAAACGTGTTCGGCACAAACAAGGCAGTCTTCTCTTCAACCTGTCATTTATCCGTAATTAGTGGTTCGAGTGTAGAGGTCTCATTGGTCAGCGTGGATGCACACTACCGGTTAATACCAAAACTCGATTCACAACAAACGGCCACATTGGCTTTCATGGCGTACGGCATCGCCAGCATCACCACCTTTGCCGCTGAAATAACGGAGCGACGTTTTTTATATTTTGCTTGGAGCCAGCGTTTGCGGAGCAACGGCTGCAGCAGCAGCAAACAGCAGCAGCAGCAGCAAACAGCAGCAGCAGCAAACAGCAGCAGCAGCAGCAAACAGCAGCAGCAGCAGCAAACAGCAGCAGCAGCCGCCGTGTGGACATTAGCATTCATCTTGCTTGCAGGGAATCGGTGCTGGCTACAGATTTAGCTTATTGATTGCTCGCCCCGGTGTGATCATTCACGCCTATAGAAATTGACACTTCGCTCCTCGGCTCGTGTTAAATTACGCTGGCCATTATTGGTTTTAATACTCTCACTATTTCTTCTTCTCTGCCTTCTTCGTTATTTCCCTTATAATTATCCGTTGTTTTTTTTTTGGGGGGGGGGGTGGGGGGCTCATTCCATTTCTCCTTTTGTCATTGTCGCTCTTTACTCGTGTTGTCATATGCATCTGCATCATCTCTTGTCTTTTCTTTTGTCTCATCATTCTTCATTTTGCTATATATATTTCAATGTCTTTTATCATCTCTTTCGTCTACCACCATCAACTTTATTCACGTGTTCTCGTATTTTCACCGTTTGCTTTTCTCTTTTTGCCATCTTGCATTTAATAATCATGGTTCGTCATTCTCTTCTTTTCAGGAGTACACCATCGATATATTCTTCGCCCAGACGTGGTTTGACAGCAGACTTCGGTTCAACAGCTCCATGAAAGTGTTGAGATTGAACAGCAACATGGTGGGGAAGATTTGGATCCCAGATACCTTCTTCCGGAACTCAAAGCAGGCTGACGCCCATTGGATTACGACCCCAAACCAATTGCTGCGCATATCAAACAACGGAAAGGTGCTCTACACACTGAGGTAAGATTACCTCCTGAAGCGTTCCTCTACTATTCTCAGCACAAACTGGCTGCTTGAGCTTAATGATGAACAGAAGATCATTATACCCTCAATGGTTTACTCAATATATGCCTTGAATGAAATACATGTTTACATATACTGTGTACATTTAGAGAGTTCATCCTTAGGTTGAGATGATGTTTGAAGCATCAGTAATAGATGTATGTGTCACCTTAAAGAGTAGAGAATTGGACTTGAAACTGTACGTGGACCCTTGGGCACTTGAACATAGCTGCATGCAGACGATAACAGGGATATCATGGAAGGAACTTTAATGTTTGAAATATAACATGACAGAAAATCACGTGATCAACAAGCAGAGTTTGCGATAGGTGTGGTGCATGGGCAGGATGGAGGAAGGCAAGGTGTTTGAGAGTTTATTGGGGCGCCGCGATGGCAAGATGTTAACTACCTTGCCTTGTGGGTTCCATCCCGACCCTGACACCTGTATATTTGGAGTTTGCATGTTCTCCCCGTGGTTGAGTGGATTTTACTCCTGGTCAACTGGTTTTTCCCTTCACATTTAGAATCAACATGCATTTAAGGGTATTTGGCTGCTATACATTTCCACATGATAAGCCACTTCGATGGGCTCTCATTTGCGCACCTCTGATTGACTATATAAGGTGTGAAAGAAGTTCAACATACATGCATTTGTGGCCAGGTCGCTTATGAAAAAGAGCATATAGCTCAGTGGGCGTTACCTGTTAAAACAAATAAAATAGTGATAGTTTAGTATTGGAGAGGAGACTGATGTTAAGTAACCAAGCGGAAGATCTAAAACCATATTGTCTGGTGGTATCACCGGCAGCGATTGCTCTTGATATTTTACATCCAGGTAACTGGATTTCCTGGTAGTTGGGTGCACTTGCCAATGAGCGAGTCCAAACTGGAGCGACTCTCGTCACTGGCCGGCCACACAGCTCCTCGAGGGTGGCATCTGCTATTAAGGGGGACACAGCAGACGAGATGCGTTTCCAGGCGTAGATCAGTTCCCGTTACGTGATCATATTTAGCATAAAAAAATTACCACAAGGCAATTGTAAAAACAGGTTCTAAACGTCATGGGTGTGGATTATTAATTTGATGAACACTCTGGAATTTACTTTTCACTGACAAGAAGCACAACACCCAGGTCTAGAGACGTGTGATGTGCTAATTGTTATCATGAATATTGACATGAACTGCTTTTTCACTATCATGACAATTGTGTTGTATATAAACCGTGCTGTATTTTTCTTTCAAAGAACAACTGTTTATCCGTTAATTTGTGAACAAATTAGACATTTTTCACTTTGCATGCTATTTTTTTGCAGCTGCTAACCTATGCAGGGTTATGCTTCTGTTATGCCTCTTTCTATTATTAGATTGACAATAAATGCAGAATGTCAGCTTCAGCTCCATAACTTTCCTATGGATGAGCATTCCTGTCCCCTGGAATTTTCCAGTTGTAAGTATTGAAACGTGTTAATAGATGATTCTGAAAATCATTGCGATTCATTCAGACTCATAAAACTCATTTACTACCTGTCTTGATATGAACCAGAACATCGCATGTGATAACAAATCATTCTCTCCACAGTGTGTGTGCGCATGAAGTATGTTTGTATGTAAGTATGCGTGAGTTTGTGAATATATGTGAGCTTTGTCTACCATACGTGGGTGAAATACATTCATTCCTGTAAAGTCACCCAACCACAAAATCCATTAAACACACGACGCGTGCGTATTTCATATGAACGTGCAATGTCAATAATTTGCACATTTAAAAAAATATGGTCATGTTTTTCATGATTTTTTTTAAAATGCATTGTCTGCACGGTATATGTGTATGCTGATTATAATTCGGTAACTTCTTAGAGGTAATGATTTTGCATCAATGCCTCCTTTGTCTATCAAATTGAAGCACCATGCGCTATAGTTATTTATGCGGTGTAGTGTAATGGTCACGGTGCGTGCGTGCATGTGGGGAGCGGTAATGTAGCGGTTAGCGCACTGCGCTATGAACTTGGCGACCCGAGTTCAATTCCCAGTAATGGCCACAAACACCAGTGACGATTATCTGGTCTGGTCTTACGCCTCCGCTAGGGCCACTCAGCCTTAAATTGGTACTTGCTGCGGTGTGTAAACATCGCCACTGGGGAGACAAAGGCGGCCGGGCGTGGTTGTTGGCCACCCATCTCCTCGTTGTGCCGTGCCAGGCTTCGTAAGTGCTCGCTAACAGCACTTACCCCAACAGTCTGTTAAGGCTATAAGGGGTCTTTGTTTTTGTTGGGGTATTTAAACTGTGGTTACTGGGCCCTGCTGTAGCCTTCGTCCCATCCACTCGACCTGTTGTCTCCCTGCCAATAGCAGGGAGACAACAGTATTCCTGGCCGTACCCACACCCTTAAGGCTCTGCGTAGGCCTTTGCCAAACAGTGCCTACCAAAAGGGGAACATTCTCCAAAGAGTTTAATACTTAAATAAAATTTATGAAAATATTTCACCTCGGAAGTCTCTTGAGATGGAACATCTCGTTTGCAAGGGTGTCGATTGACACACAGAGCAAACGCAAAATGTTTGTACGAACATTTGTGTCCTATATATGCAGTATATACACAGTAGAGTATCATATATGATGGACAGTACAGTATATTCAGGTGTTTTATAGTGGTCTATTATTTATGATCTAAGAGATAAATGTGTATATTATAACGTTTACTCGTGATATTAGCGAGCAGGTAATCAGTGCAATGGCACCAAACCATTGATTTTGCAGACGGTTATCCCAAGGATGAGATCCTTTACAAATGGAGCAAGAGTTCTGTGGAAGTTGCCAACCAACGCTCTTGGAAGCTCTACCAGTTCTCCTTCCTGGGCCTCAGGAACACCACCAATATCCTGTCGACTGATTCCGGTGAGACCCTTGCTCATCACACATTCACGTGAAAGCCCGTGGCTTGTACTGTATCATTCATGTGCGATATCCGTCCGTGCGCCGATGGGGCAGCGCACAACTCGCGATTTAGAATGTCGTGAGTGAGTTCACCCGTAGGTTTTGGATCAACGCAGCCCATCATCCCTCTGGAGTTGATCAAAAATGAGCACCACCCTGTGGGGAGTCTTCGTGGGAAGACTGACCAAATGCAGGGTAATGTGGAATTTATGTAAGTGTTGAACTTCTTTCGCACCATGTGTTGTCAACCATGCTAATCGGAGGTGCTGGAGAAGGACAACAAACGAAACACAAAAGCAGTTCTAAATAAATTAGTATTCAATCTAGATGATTTAAAAGTGCATGGCTTCAGTGGCTTCCTAATATCGGAAGGAAGAGCATTCCAGACGGCCGCAGAAGCGCATCTGAAAGCGTACGATGCGGTAACCATCTTTGTTCGATGGCTTATATCCCATCTTAGGACCTACCATTAGGCCAATAATGTAACCAGGCGAAAGGTCACTTTGTATGTATTGTATGTTGAACTTCTATTACACGTACGCATATTTATACCACTACCTGAAGGCTACCAACTGAGCAGAGCACCACCCTGCCTTCGTTTTAAAAAGGAGACGCTCTGAATTGCATGTATGATACTTTTTGGGATTAAGAATATTATTTTCAGAAGTTCTAAATTAAGTTATCTGATATCCATTTACTTATGCCTTTTTGAATGTCGAATTCGTTTAAAAAATTCCGCAAATATTGGCAGCAATTGCCTTTTATCCAAAATAAATTAGACCAATCGTGTCTGCATGTTTACAGTCAATGCATACGAAAACAACTGGTAATCTGTTAAGCGGGTGTAGTATTTGCATACTTGTGTTACTAACACAAAGACAAACTGTACGATGTTCTGCAGTAATTCATAAGCGAGGTTTAAAAATACAATGTCAGGGTCACAGTGTCCCTTGTTTCAGACAAACATTCGGAATTATTCCTCCCCATGCGCGAAAGCAAAATTGTAATGGAAATTCCACAGTGCTATGGCAAATATCAATCTGACCCTTGGGTATTGGTACAATTTCAGTGACGTGCACCACACTGGGGGAAAAAAAACACGTGCATTTGATCCTTTCCCAAAATGCCGTGAATGCTGCACGTAACTCTTTGGTTCTTTCGGTAAAGTAACGTAGAAAAAAATAAATAAATTAAATAATATCACACGATGTTTTGATTGCAACACAAGCAATAATCATCAGGTACAAATGAAAGAGAAAACAAACCTAGTAAATTTAGAGATATAATGCAATACAACACAGAGTCGGCTAACATAACAGTCAACACCCGACCTGGTTGATTACGTTCTTCCAAAGATTGCTAAATTTGAGAGAGAGACAAAACACAGACACGGAGACACATAGACACACATAAGCAGAGAGAGATAACACAGAGACATACAGAGACACACACATAGGCACACAGAGAAACAATGCCTCTCAAATTTCACAATTAACTTCTAATTTAGCAATCTTTTGAAGAACATAATCAACCAGGCTATGCGTTGTGTGTTGACCAACTCTGTGTTGCATTGCACTACATTTCTAAGTTTACTAGGTTTGTTTTCTCTTTCATTTGTACCTGTCGATGATTGCTTGTGTTGCAATCGAAACGTCGTCCGCTATTATTTAATTATTATTTTCTTTCTACATTACTTTACCGGAAGAACCAAATAGTAATTCCTGCAGTCACGAAAGCTCCAAATCAAGTTTGCTGCACGTAATTCACGGGACGGTGAACATTTTTTCTTCCTCGGGCTGCATAGGACAATCGAACACCCGTTGGCAGGCAGCTCCTACACGTTAACACAAGACTTTACGTCATCCAATAAGTGTGAAATGAACGTGTGGTTTGATCCCGAGGTATGAGAGTTCGTTGCAAGTGACAGAAGGTACAACTGAGCTTGCTAAGCATGGGGAACACCTAGCCTGCATTCCCAAGGTGGAACCTGCTCTCCCCTCGTACTCCGATTAGTGCGGCCGAGACGCTTGTAGTTGACTAATGGGATATCGTCTGCGGCCCCCCTCCAATTTTGAAGTGGCTACGGCTTAAGCGGGGGTGCGGGCCATGTGAAATTTATATTGCGGGCCGTATCCAATCCTCCTGTGATAGAAAACTATGCGAATGTAAGAGATGGGGGCCAGCATTGCAAGATAGGTTAACGCATTGTTTGTTTGCAGTGATTAAGATATGGGTTAGTAGACGTAACCGTTGAGAGAATTGTTAAGCATAGAAAGCAAGCTCTCATGGCTGTTCCACACTGCAAGGGCAACACAGGAGTGTGGGTTACCCACGATATATTGCCGCCACGTCCATTACACTCTTAGCTGTTTCATTATTGAAAGTGGTGACATCCATTTACCACTTGCTCTTCTGTCCATTCTAATCTGATGCTTAGAATCAATCTGAAGCATTCCACCTTCTGAACTGGTTCTCTCACGCAAACTCTCATTTGTGAGAATAGATTTTTCCCCCCTTTTTTTCTGTCAACCAAACAGGTGTTAAGTTGCCAGAAAAAAATGGGAAAAACTATTCTTATATTTTGGTAATGACAAAGGAGGTCTCATTTGTGGTTGCGCGATCAACGCAGTCCTGTCCGCAAGGGTGTTGAAGTGTAATGTGCGTCGTACCTTCACGACTGTAATTTGCTGAATCGACACCGGTTTTGCTGATTATAACACCGCAGTGTCTGCCATTATCTGCCAGGTTAAATGTGTTTGTGTGCAAGGAAAGAAACGACCATGTTTTCTAACACCCCCCCCCCCTTCCCCAACTTTATACCGGAACGTGCAATGCCCGCGTTACATTGCGTAGCTCTGCATGCGTACATCTGAGTGGCCCACTTTGCATGGGCTACAACAATGACTTGTGGAGTAAAGGCATTCACGTTATTATTTAATTAATTCATGTACACACGCTAAACTTTATCTTTCTTGACCTGGAGTGGTGGTGGTGGGACACACCATAGATCTGATTATCTTTTTATTGTATTTGCTATGAGAATAGACACATTGAGGCGCCACGCATTAATGAATGAATGCATAGCTGTACATTGCGATAACAGCAGGAAATGTAAGTTCATGAATGCCTTGTGGAAGGTATGCTTTCCAGATCTCCTCTCGGATTCTGCCCTGTATATAAAAAAATACATGCGTGGGTTGCACCCTCGGTGACATCGCAGTGAGGACTTTGTTGTCTGCTGTGAGATTTCACAAACGAAACTGCACGTATGTCATTAGTGATACTTTCTGCTCATGCGGGACAGCCTAAGATAGAAAGGCTGGATCCGTTTGTAGCAAATTATTTACGTTTTAATGTTGTGCTTCAAATGCGCTTGCTCTTGTATGTATGTCGAACTTATTTCGCACTGTACGTAGCCAATCGTGCTAATCGAAGGTGTGGGGGAAGGAAACCAAACTAAACACAAAAATCAGTTCCAAAGAAATGAGTTTTCAATTTAGAGAGTGTTCCATCAATTGGAATTCCGTTGTTGTGCCAAGAGTCAAGGAGACCCGAGGCACCAGTCATCACTAAGCCAGCCAGCCCCCAGCACCAGCCCGAGATCTTACCCCGAGCCGATCGCTAACAATAACTCCACCTCCGCCCATTAACCCAGCATTCGTTGGAATTCTGCAAATTACTTTTGATGTTTACCAGTGCCCTATTTCAAGTTAGGTCTCATATGCTTCCAGCTCATCCGATGAAGTCTGCGATATGTTTACATGGCATACGTGAATTAAATAGTAATGTATTTGAACACTTTGTACATGACGGCCCTGTAAATATTGTACACTTGGTGCAAGAGGAAATCTACATTGGGCCCTCTTCAGCCATAACATACTTATTGGAAAATCTGTGCTATAATTAGCTAATTCATTAACACTATTGTCAAACCCAAGAAACGTAAGCCGTCCATCTAATTGGCTTCTGACTATCCCATTAACAATAATTCGAATAGGTGACAAAGCGTTTGCCGTTGCAGCATCAACGTTTTGGAACAATATTGTTTCCTCCCTTAACATTGTACATTTTCCTTCAAAAATATCCTCAAGCAGAAGATTAGTGCTGGGTACAACCACATTTGCAAATGTGATTTGTAACTTTGATCATGTATCAATAGTTAAATTTTAATATACATTGTTATTGAGGGCCGGTGTGTTGTCTTTGTGTGGTCTAGGCCTGTTGTTTTTGATGTTTTGCTGCCTTGCCCAAGCTTGTGCTTATTGTTGAAAAATCGGCAGGAATTTATGTCCTTATACAATTTGTCCTTACAGTATATAATTTATTTACATGTTTAGTGACTTGCTTACCTTTTATCTTTTTATATACTTTTCACTCCTATCCTTTGTTGTACTGTTTCTTGTTGTAACTTTCTGACCCGCACCTACCGGACATCTGTGATAAAGAGCTCCATAGCGCATCGGATTCCTTCTGTTTAAATAAAGATTCAGATTCAGAATATTTACATACCATCCCTGTATACATTGTATATACCAGTCCTGTACACGCTGTATATATCAGTCCTGTACACGTATAATGTAGCTCTCAGAGACACCGTCTTGTCTTTATGGATATTTATTATGAATAAAGTTCGCTGACAACTTCATGAGTAACCGCGAGTGACTTGGGTAGTTAGACGACACTATTCTGAAACAACATAGCTCTAGCCCCAAGACAACTCGAAGACGATGGAGACGACCCGTTCCAAGGTAACGACGATGATGGCAATTCCCCACACCAACAGCCCCCAGGTCCGGTTCTCGCTGGCTCTTATCCCTGCACGACCTGGCCACGCCCCTCTTCCCGAACTCTCGCTCACCGCACCTGGCCCTGTCAATCCCGTGCTTCCCCTCACGTGACCCTGTCAACGCTTGTCCCATCAATCATCATTAGCACGTCCATTAGTGACCATAGTCCCGGGG